GTGCCTGGAAGAGGCCTATAATTACTAAAATAAGAATATATTTATCATCGTATAATTTTAAGTAGTATAAATAGTTTTAAAATATAAACGTGTTGGCAATTAGCTGTAAGTTTATATTGTGTTAATTAAATAAATACCTAATTCTCGTTCTTACACTTTTGTATTCTATAAAATGTAGACGAACCTGTTTAATTTGTACATCATATAATCTGTTAAGTCGGTGTTAAGATTTTAATTATACACAGCGTAATCGGAATTTGTGTCGCAGATACATTCTGTGATAAGGCACAGCCACAAAATTACCAGACTAATAAAATTGTTTAGTATATAATATGGAAGTCATGCTTAAAATTACGATGTGTTACAGTTTAGTCCTAGTGTTATTTTACTAAGGACTCGTTCCTATTTTTTTCTGCTTAAATGATAATACACAATAATAATAATTTATTTTTATTTCCTCTACCATATATCATCATCATCATCATCTGTTACTTCCGTATCCCATTTATTTGGGGTCGGCGTAATATTTTTTTCTCTTCCATTCATCCCTGTTCGCAGTCATCGCGTTATTTACTTCCTTTCTTACAATATCATCTTTCACACAGTCCATCCATCTCTTTTTCGGCCTTCCTCTGCCCTTATTATTCCTGTACCAGTGGTGGAAATAAGTGAATTTGTCAGGATATTTTACAATTATAATAGGTAAGTCGTACCCGTGAGGCAGGAGTTGGCATTCAGCCGCTTTATACGGCCGTGAGGGAATTTGGAGTGCCATTTGTACACGCCACCTATCTTTTGGTGAAGTTGTAAAGTCCAGCTCAGCTCTCCAGTCTACGGCCAACAATATTAGAATGCATAGATCGAAACACCAATTTATCACTTTTTATAGACAATATTACTGCAGATAAGTATTTGTGTCGTTATTGAATTCTTGTATCGTACAAGGTCACCATGATGGGAAAGAGGTCAAATTTACAATAAACATATAATAAGTAATACATAATTATGGTAACTGTGTATGGCTTACGTGGATAATTCCAGTACACAATATCGTGATTAATCATTGTTTCAATATGAGTCATTGAAACAGGTAAGACAACTGCCCACACAGGTAAATACGTTACGTATGCAATACTACAATTATTACGAATTTACTTATAATATTTTGCCCTAAGTTACAATATTATTATGTATGTTAAAAATAAAATTATATACCGACGACAACATCTATTCCAGATGGGGTAGATAGAGTTATCATCAGCTGTAGTCGTTCGTCGTGAACACAACACTTGACATATTCACGATGATTGTTTTGGTAATGCATTTATATAAACTTTATAGTATTATATACAACAAAATTCGCATCCATTATTAGAAAAGTATAGATACGTACAGAAGTGATAACATACTCGGTACATTAGTTTATTCATACTAATATTACAACTGGGGAAATGTCTGTCTGTTTGTTACCTTTTCACGACGAAACGACTGAACGGATCTGAATGATATTTGACATGAAGATAGATTGTAACACGAGGACGAATATTAGCTATTTTTATCTCAAAAAAGCAGGTGAAGTCAAAGGAAACGGCTAGTTTTTTTAAGGGGTAATTATAGAATACTCACCCGCCTGCGGTAACGGTTTACGGGTTACGGGGAACCAGTGGAGGATGATAAGATGAGCATGAGGCTAGGTCACTTAGTCCATTATGACAAAATTACCAGGAATTTATCACGATGGTATCCAAGTGAAACCGCGTTGAGGTAAACCTGACATAGTACATAGCTAGCAATGAGGTCACCAGTCCTCATTACTAACAATCCCCTATTCCCCCGGAAACGGCTAGAAAGACATGTCAAGTCTTTGTTAATCCCAAAATATAGATTTGTGGGTGTATGTATAATATACATACATATACATCTTATGCGATCGATTGCATACATATAATGTGTACGTATATAAGCGGAAGTTGACAATCATGAAGGTTTGCTGGACTGTATAGTGCATGTATAGTAGGTACCATCGAGTGATCCATTTTATATTCAGAGTCTTTCTTATTTTTTTTAGTAATAACAGGAAAAACAATCTGTTTTAGCGAAAAGAATCGAATCTTATCAAATTGTAGATTAACCGCGTTATTCATAAAACTATTAAACGCCTACTAACATTATCTTGTCTATTCAAGTACTTGTACTGAATACTAGTTAACGAGTTTCTAGATGAAGTCTTTTTTTAAAAAGGAAGATCAATCTAAAAGTTCATTCTAACCGCAACGATTGATAGTGGCATACTGCCCTATGTTCCTCTCCGACCAAAATGATTACTAATAAACCGAAAATTAGAAGAACAGAGGTAACAGATAATAAACCAAGAGAATTACTTTCACGATTATAATGCAGTAAGAATTACGTGTTATTATAAATAAAAGTTAATATAATAAACTTACCGTAATTTTATGTATGTTGTGCCAAATCCAAAGAGAAATAAATAATGTGTAAATATAATTGTTATCATCTGATTATGTAATATTTTCTATGCGATATTACGAAACCAATTACGAAAACACTAAAGAATAATTTGAAAAACGGTAGGCAACACAATTTTAATTTTGTATTGTATGTGAAGGTAACGCAGACAACAAGAACCCACTGATGCAAAATACAGATAAGTTATCGAAGGCGTCATTGTCTTCACAACAATCAACGTTATCTGTTCTGATAACAGGTCGGTATCGGCGGCTTATCAGAAATTGACTTGTAAGTTAAATGGTTTATTATAAAAATAAAGGAAAAAATTGAGGGCAATGAATTATGACATTATACACCCGCCTGATAGTCTGGCGGAGCTCTATAGAAAAATGATAGGAAGAGACTGAAATCAGAGGAGTTAGCACTTGTGGCGGATTTATCAAGAATTTACAACGATAGTTTTGAAGGACCTCCTGTAGTAAATACATTGCTGGTAATAAAACTATTATTTTCCATTACACAATCTACTCCCTCCCGCTATTTAGATCATTCGGAATTCGAATGTGACGGAAAAAATTTATAGAACGTAGTGCATCTATTTCTTATTGAGGGGTCATTGTCATCCATGGCTAAAAAGACCGTTAGTTATGATAGTCAATAAATGTCACCCTGTCCGCCAGCTTTTAGAGTATCATAACATGTAAATATTATCGTAAAAGCGGAAGTATACATGCTGATACCATACAAAGGATTATAATACTGTCTGATTGTATTATTCAAATTCAGTGTAGCGACTATTTCAAGGACAAAGGAAGACATACTGTTCGCACCGTATGATAACGACTATGCGTGTCGGTGCATAGCGTTGATATTGTTTGCACTGATAGCTAGGTAGCACTAGATATAGGTCACATTTCTAGTATCCGACTGAAATTTGATTATGCATGACTAGCAGTATTGACAGACACGAAACTGCCTACATGATTTAGAGAAAATATAGGATATGATCTTATGAATATAAATGGACAAAAAACATTACAGAATGGCACCTAAGATATATAAGAAGCAGAGGCAAACCAATTGAAAGATGGGAAGAGGGTATTAGGGTCGTAGCAGGAAAAATTTGGACTCAAAGAGCAAAGGAAAGCCTATGTCACATCACAACAAACTGTTAACATTCAAAAGGAAAAAATCAAGTTGCGCAAAATATATGTATAGTTAGAAAAAAATGGATTCTTGAAAGTTAAAAGTATAAAGGCTATTATTAATATTAGGATATCTGTTCACTGATTTATTTTCGGAACTCTAAGAGGTTTTTCGTGATACACTTTCACGCAAAAACATCCATATTCACAAAATTTCGTGCCGTATTATTACTAGGATGAATATACTACACATTTATAGGATAACACCTCATCTATGTACATACTAAAGGAAGTTTAAAATTAACTTCAATACCTATTATACAAGAGACAGCAGCATATGAATAAAGTATGCCGGCCGGTGCAGTGACATAACGCAATAGATAATACGACAGTTTTGCGACACCCGCCCATAAATGTGGCGTAACTGCGTTATGTTAACAATCAGCTTCCGCCATAAGGGCCAGGGCTAGGCTCAGGTGTGTTAGGCCAATTCGCTATTAAATTTCTGTAGTAAAAGATTTTATATACAAAATATGTTTCTAAATTCTCACCTATTTCAAAAACAAGTTAAGTATGAAATTCCCTATTTTTTTGTATATCATGGACTCACCAATTATCAATATGGCTGGAACCAGCAGGCTAAAAGCATGTAGGTAAAAGATGGTTCTATGACATTAAAGAAATAGCATGAGAAAATTGGATGAATGTAGCTAAAACACAAAATTATGGATTAAGAAACCAAATTATTTAAAGTCGAAACATATATTTAAAATTGTAATTATAAGGGAAAATAAAGGTTAAATAAATAAATATAGAATTTTACACAATATACCTATGATTAATCTATTTTGTAGGAGATCTTTAGGTGATTATTTTTACAATAGATATGAATTAGATTCATATGGTATGGTATAGTATCAATAGTCAAATATGGTTTCAATTTCACGAAGATATCTTGAATAGGTGACTGTGAAAAAAATAATTTCATTAAAGGGAAGTCACCTCATTATTCCCTTACTATAGAGTTTAGGGGTGTGAGATTGAGTGTATAACTATTTGACATGAACAATAATAAATAGAAGTTAAGAACCCTTCATCAGACTCGAGTTTAGTTTCCATATGCTTAACCCTCTAGATCCTTTAAGACATATTACAGAGATTTTACTATAGCTATCTAAATGACTAACAATGAATCAAGACCAGGTAGGTATTGGACCTACTTTGGCAAATGCGAAAGAATTTCCATAGCCTACGTGGTAATACCATAGGGTAAACACCCTAGGCGGCAAGAAATCATAAGCCCTGATAATAATAAAATAATAGTCTCCTAAGACAGTGGGTTCAAGGGCGATTTTCCTCAAGCAAAAAGTTAGTTACTGTACCTACCTGAAATTTCTCGAACTGTTCTCGCTCCGCCTCCAGGCTGTTCTTTTTCAGCTGGAGTACTCTCGGCAGAGATAACGACGCCATAGATTTCCGATTTAATACACAAATACAAAATTTATGTTAACTGCTACAGTCTGTAGACTGACCGATTTCTTTTACTTTACTTGAATTTTAATACTAGACACTTATACACAAAGTTATCCTTTTAAATAGTTTTCTACAAGTAACGAGGAAATGTATAAAAAAAATATTACCGACAATATAACAAACATGTACAGAAAACAACTTCATTCATAAAATTTTACTATAAAAAAATATACAGGAACAGTCCCTTCGTAAACCACAGAATTTTCTGTGCCAATGTATGCATATTGTAAGTCAAAACACCATCTCTCCTATGGTTTACTGACTTAATGACTGATTTTGAATGACTGCACCATAAAGACTTTTCTGTTCCACTTTGTTGGGCGATGATTACTACAGCTACTCCTAAAACCGCTGCCTCGTTGTGCTGTAGACATTTCTAACTACTACAAGATTTTGAGTTCACATCTACTTAATTTTGTCTTTACTAAAGATTTATGTTATTGCTTCAGAAAAGAGATATAGATTATAAAGCTTGTTAGACTTAAAACTTTAACATACTGCAATATCTTATAGATGTTAGAGTTTTAAGGTTAATAATAAGCTTTAGTGTTAATATAGATGATATGTATAGTATCCTTATATAAGTTCGCAAATGGCCTTAAAGCTTCACCGAACTATAAGGGCGCTCAAAACCCGTAGAAAGACTTATGGAGCGGCTGCAGGCCGACTCCTACATGTGATATACGATTTTAGTCTGTGTGCACAGTTCAGTGAATGAACCTCCGTTCAAGTCATCGTAATTTTTAGTAGTCGTGTATTATTTTTATGCTAAATAAAGCGTTTGATTGCTACGGCGCATGTTCCTTTATCTATGACTATGTTCGATCAGTCGCGATGTCATTCTTTATGTCAATCAATTCAGTCACAGTCAGTGGGACGCCAGATAATTTCCACCTGTTTTCAAGATCCTTCCTTTATAAGTTTGATTTTATTTTATTTTAGTATATTCGTTTATTGAAATGCAAAAATGAAATAATCTTATTTTTGATGAGAATAATAAAATTTCGTTTAAAATACATTTTACTTTCTAATATTTTAATTAAAATATCTAATATTAATCTGAATAAATATTAACAAACAATGGAATTTCTGGAATACAACGATGTTTCTGCCGAGATCAAAGGGAATATGGTAAGATTTCGTACATTGGTTATAATCACATTGTTTTGTTTTCTACAAATTTTACTATGTATAAACCTATGGGCTTTTAGGTTCCAGGCCGGTTGAAAATGACCGATCAGAGTATTGTATTCAAGAACAGTAAAACCGGTAAAGTGGAGCAGATATCTGCTAATGACATCGAGTTAGTTAATTTTCAAAAGTTCATTGGTTCCTGGGGCTTGCGAGTATTTATGAAGAATGGCACTCTTCACAGATATGGTGGCTTTAAAGATGGAGTAAGTATTAAAGTGTATCTTGATAAAAAATATAGTCATTTAGTAACAAATACTGAATAAGACCTACATATCCCTATATAAGTCCTCCTAATATTATACATAATAAAGTTTATAAGGATGGATGGATGGATGGTCATTTGTTACTTACAAAACCAAACTTCTGACGCACTTAAAACTAAATGTGGTTAACACACAGAAAGTACATAACCTGTATAAACACAGAATATATTTTACCTAATTTAATATAATTAAATTAATAATTTATTGGTTGCCCAAAACATTCCTACTTCTTGTAACGAAGGTTACACCAAACCTTCGTTTTCTGAGTACTTGCCTAGATTTTGTTTAGAAACCAAAGTAAATGCAAAATTTGTAGTAGTGAAGTTCACATTTTATTATGTGTATATATTAAGGGTTGGCAACGCACATGTGACACCCCTGGTGTTTCAGGCTTCCATAGGCTATGGTAACCATTTACCAACAGATGGGCCGTATGCCTTGTTGCCACCATAGTAGTATAAAAAAAAATGCAAATACATTTTTAGTATGCATTTCCTTGAATCCTCACTCATTCTTTTTAGGTTTAGGCATATTATTTGATACTTGTGGTCTTACACAATGTAGCATAATTTATTTTTAGCATATTTTATTGTTTGAAGACATAAAGTTTGTTGTACTTTGGAGATTTTTTAATTTAAATATATTAAATAATTAATTATCACAAATTTAATTTTGGAGTCATTATATCAGATTGATCATAAAAGGCATGAAATAAGTAATATGACATTACACTAATTTTACTCTATATTCAGGAACAAGAAAAAGTAGCAAAATTTTTTAAAAATAACTACCACAAAGACATGTTAGAGAAGGAGCTTTCCTTAAAGGGATGGAACTGGGGTACAGCAAAGTTTAATGGTGCAGTCTTAAGCTTCAATGTGGGATCCAATACAGCATTTGAAATCCCTTTACATTATGTCTCCCAATGTAACACAGGCAAGAATGAGGTTACACTGGAGTTTCATCAGGTAATACAAATTTATAAATCCATACCAATGTTGTAAATGTAAAACCATCTGGCTGTTTTTCACTTCTCTACCTTATGCATATAGAATAAAATCCAAAAAAATAGTAAGATTAAATTAGAGAATTTGCTAAAATTACAAAGAAGACTTCATCAGTCAGTCTCTATGTACAAAATTTTATTGTAAATGTAATTTAACTATGATTTAAGTTTAATTATGATTTAACAAATATCTTAATATTGTATTCTCAGACTCATTTATTTATATTTTCAGAATGATGACACTCCAATCTCTCTTATGGAGGTGCGCTTCCATATTCCAACGAATGAGCTGGCAGGTGACATGGATGCCGTAGAGGCGTTCCACCAACAAGTCATGAACAAAGCCAGTGTCATCTCAGTTTCTGGTGATGCCATAGCTATATTTAGGGAATTACAGTGTCTCACACCTCGGTTAGCATTTTATTTACTTTGTTAGCAAAGTAGGTTTATTAGAAGTTTTAGCCATTCATTAAAAAAGGAATGTGCTGCCCAACCAACTGAAAGTCCTCAACAACATATGTCACTGGTAGGTACTGGAACCCGATGACTAATCAGGACCACCTAAAGAGATGATGATTCTGCTGGGAATCACATTCTACCTGCGACATAACTTTTACTACATTATACACTATGAAATCATAGTTTTTGATAGAAAAGCAGTTATCATAACATTGACATTGCACAATATTTTTTTATCTTAAGCAATAATTTTATATAGGAATTCGTTTTGTTATATTTGTTGTTAATTAGTATTTTATAAAGAAATATATAAAAATATTCTTATTATTAACTCTATATTTAGTAAGTTCAAGTACAAACAATATCTCCCATGTATTATTTAGTCCATTTAAACTGTACTACTTAGAAAAGAGAAGTTATCCTAAAATTTCATATCAATATCATTATTATGAGTAGACCCATTAACCAATTCCAAATAAAACAAATGCTGCTCATGTAGTTACTTCTTTGAAGGAGCCCTCCATTTTGATATTAGTCTAATTTGTCTATGATTTCGATTTTGGTTTGCCGAGTCTGGGCCAGGACTTAATTGTAGTTGACAACCCAGTGTCGGGGGTAGGATGTGCAATTTTTTAACTACTTCTATTTCTTCTGAATTGTATTAGATAGAAGTGAGAATGCGGTGCCGCTAGCATTATTCAGTTATAAAATTTACAGTTGGACAAGTTAAAAAAATCAAATTTCCAACTAATACAAGCATTTAATTTTTTAATGTAATGACATAAGAATGTTTATAATAATTATAATACAATCATTATGCATACTGCGAAATGTATTTTTTTTTTGTTACAGTGGTCGCTACGATATCAAAGTATTTCAAACATTCTTCCAACTGCACGGTAAAACATTTGATTACAAGATTCCAATGTCCACTGTACTTCGCCTGTTCCTGCTGCCGCATAAGGATACTCGCCAAATGTTCTTTGTGGTGTCTCTCGATCCACCCATCAAACAAGGTCAGACGAGGTATCATTACCTGGTATTATTGTTTGGTATTGAAGAAGAAACAAGTTTAGAACTGCCATTCACAGAGTAAGTATAATTACATAAATAATCTATTTATTCTGTTCTTAGAGTGTATTTTTAAATAATTTAAAATACTCAGCATATATTTTGTTATGTCATAAAGTATAAATATAAACTATATTATACTTTTATTTGCTTTACAGGGAAGAATTGAAAGATAAGTATGATGGGAAGATTACAAAAGAGTTATCAGGGCCCACTTATGAAGTTTTGGCGAAAATTATGAAGGTCATCATAAATAGAAGAGTTACAGGGCCTGGTGATTTCTTAGGGTATGTATCCACCAAAGCATTTGCTTGTAAATACCTGTTACATGGGATACCATGTAACAGGTTTACAAGCAAATGTTTACAAAATTATTTTTTGATGAAAACTTTTAAAAAAGTAACAAAGGATTATTTATTTATTAACAGCTAGTATTTTATGGTAATTTATATATGTATGTATTTATTTCTATTTACGTATATTTTATATGCTCACTGTGTAATTTAGATTATTAAATTTTTGAAATAAAATTCAGTAAAAGAAAGTTATAATGAATTGATATAAAAATATATTTATGTTTTCCAGGCACCACAAAACACCAGCGATAGCTTGCTCTTACAAGGCAGCCGCTGGGTACTTGTACCCATTAGAAAAAGGATTTATCTACGTACACAAACCACCTGTACACATACGTTTTGAAGAGATTGCATCTGTCAATTTTGCTCGTGGTGGGGCCTCCTCCACAAAGTAAGTATTTTTTGTTTTATATACCTATCACATATTTAATGCAACCATCATGTCTAAGCATAGAAAAAAATCTCCACTAACTCAAAAAAGGGACAAATGTAACGCAGTTTTCAATTCTGGTTAATTGGAAATTCTAAAATATATTAAATTTTAACCCGACTCAAAATATTTTCTTCTTGGATAACAATATAATCCATATAAATTGTGTCCTATTGTATTAATTTATCTAATCCATACATTATAAATGCCAGTGTGTCTGCCAATTTATTTGCTACCTTTCCCCGAATGAATGTATCCTAATGAAATCTGTCGTGAATATGATACGAATTTTATCACGAGGACGGATTCAGGCTATATTTTATTCATAAAGGATGAATTGGCAGGGTTAGTAATGTAAGTAAAATAATATGCATAATTTTTCACAGATCATTTGACTTTGAAATAGAACTGAAGTCTGGTAGTGTTCACACATTCAGCAGCATAGAAAAGGGCGAGTACGACAAGCTGTTTGATTATATCTCATCCAAGAAATTACACGTAAAGAACACCGGCAAAAATGTAAGTGGGCATGGTACAGAGTTCTGTACAATCACCTTATTTATATACCATGGCATCAGACATGGTCTACATTATATTTAGGGCACATTCAATTTTATGTACACTACTTGAAGAATTATAATTGGTATAACAATCCTTATTTATTAATATAATAATATTGTTGTGACATTAATATGTATATCCTATTTTCTTTCGTATGTAACCACTAACTAGGGACTTCAAGAAGTTTACAGTTGTTTATAGTAATATAAAGCTATAAATGTTAAAATCAAAATAAATAGATTAGTAATAATAATGAAATAGAATTATATGGCAAAACATTTGCCGGATCAGCTTGTAACGTAATAGAATTATTATATTGTAATTAATTTATCTAATACTTAATATTGTTTGTTCCAGGACAAGGCGTTGTACAACGATGACTTCGGCGACTCCGATAACGAGAAGGAACCGGACGCGTACTTGGCGCGCGTGAAGGCCGAGGCCAAGGAACGCGACTCCAACGACAGCGACGGCTCCGACGAGAGCACCGACGAGGACTTCAACCCGGACAAGGCCAGGGAGAGCGACGTTGCCGAGGAGTGAGTACTTTGTTTGTTTGGTCTTTTTACAGGCTTTTTTATTTAGGTCTTGATCAGGGATATTATGGAAATGAAATATCGGATACGTATATAAAATTATATCGGATTATCCGGTAGTTTCGGATAATTTCGGTTACGAATATTAATTATTTAAAGAATTTCAAAAGTAAAATACAAATAGCTAATAAAATGGTTACATAACATATATCAATTAGGCTCCGTCCTTATCCAATATTATCCGAAACTTTTTTTTCGGATTCGGTTACGATTACGAATATTTTTTTATATCGGATATCCGATAGTTTCGATTTCGGTTACGGACCTGAACATCCCTGGTCTAGATAACTTCTGAAAACTTCTCATCTCTTAGCATAGAGTTCTAGGCTAGCTAGACTGCAGATGAGTTTACAGTTTTACAATACGAGAAGTTTACAATGGGAAGCCACTCTACATAACAGCATCATAGGACAGATTTGCTAAAACTCTTTGGACTGATGGTAAATATGCTTGAAGAAAAAAAAATTTGGTAAACAGTATCACCTTGTACATATAGCTTAAGAGTATTTTGTAGGGTGAATGTGTGCATATAATGTCAGTGACATGACAGTGTATATAATATAATTCTATGCACATTTAATTGCTAAGATTTGTAATTTTTTAAGGTATGACACGAATCCGTCATCTTCAGAAGATTCCGATGCATCTGGAGCGTCCAATGACAGCAAAAAGGAAAAGAAAAAAGAGAAGAAACCCAAAAAGACAATCACAATTGTAAGTCTTTATATGTAAAGGTCATTTTATTAATAACTAAAATAGAGAAGATTCCAATTCCTAATTGGAACACATAAATACCATTGACATCATGTGATTATATGTTATTAATGGTGATATTAATGTATATGCTGATGCTTGTTTTTATCTGGTGGGTCTGTAATTGTTTTGACGTTCCGGTTTCAATCAACAATCAAAACTATTTGAAATTATGGTGTAATAATGCATGAACAGTTCGAAAATAAATAAAATCATTACGCCACAACACTTGTAACACATAGGCTTCGTGGTGGATCAGTTATCAGCGATACTTAAACTGTTTTTTTCTTCCTAATTTTTTTTAGTTATAACGAGTATTTTTGATCTTATTCATCACTATCGTTGTGTTGCAGGTTTGATTAGGATAGATAATTGCTAATCAAAAGTAGTAATAAACTATATTGTAGCTGCCGAGAAGTAAATTCAACCTGTCATCTAGATAAAATATGTAAAACTAAAAATTAACTATACATATTGTATAATTACAGTCGGAGGCACCTAGGAAACGCAAAGAGAAGTCCAAAAAACGTGAAAAGGATGTGAATGCACCCAAGCGTCCGGCCACCGCGTTCATGCTGTGGCTGAACGAGAATAGAAAGGGCATTGTAGAAGAAAACCCCGGCATCAAAGTTACTGAGATAGCCAAGAAGGGCGGCGAGCTCTGGCGAGAACTCAAGGATAAGTCGGTCAGTAAATCTATTAACACTGCATTTCTACTAATAATACAATAAAATGTATATTCTCAATTCTGTAATGTAACAAGTATTGTATATACCGAGTTATATGTATGCTGCACACGCATTTATTATTCAATTATTTTCACATAAATAAATTTAAAGGATATTTATTAATTATACAATACAATGTGTATTCTCAATTCTGTATTGTAACTAGTACTGTACATATCAAGTTATATATATGCTGTACACACGTATTGGTCAGGGTTTTTCATTTTTTTAAAGTATAATTATTAAGAAAAAGGTAAAAGAACTTAAAAACTGCTAAAGTCACTTGGTCTGTTTAGTATAAAAGAAAGAATATTCTCTTAATTGACTTCATTCGTCTATCTTAGCTCAAAATTGTTATTATTGTTTTGTATGTATGTAACAAAGTATCCATAGTTTGAAAGTTTAACAAGATAAATAACTATATAACTAATTATACCAAGCAAACTAGTTAACACTCCTCTAAATCAGCAATTTATAGTCTTTGAATATTATGTTGCTTGGTTTATTACATTTTAAGAAGTTATTAAGAAAAATAGAAATTAAATACTTTAAAACTTTCTGTTCATATTTTAGGAGTGGGAAGAGAAAGCAAGTAAAGCCAAAGAAGAATACAACCAAGCGATGAAGAAATACAAAGAGAGTGGTGCGGCAGACGAATTCAAACAGAAGAAAAAGCAAGCGGAAAAGGAAAAGAAAGCAGCAGATAAAAAGAGTAAGCCACCGAGTAAGAAAGCCAAGAATACAAGCGCAGGCTCTGGATCCGGCGGCAAGTTTACTAGTAAAGAGTACATTGAAGACGATTCTAGTTCTTCAGACTCTGACAATGAGAAGAAGAAGGCGGAGAAGCCTAAAGAAGTAAGTTTTGTTTTTACCATTTTTTGGATAAATAATAATAATAACAATATTATCTACTAGCTGTACCCGCGGTTTCACCCGCATGAAAATTATAGTCACTGTGTTATTCTATATGTATGTATAAGCTATATTACTGTAAAATTTCAACAAAATCCGTTTAGTAGTTTTTGCGTGAAAGAGTAACAAACATCCATCCATACTCACAAACTTTCGCATTTATAATATTAATAAGATTACTATTTTTGTGATACATTGGAATGTCCAGTAACTGCTAGGTTACTTTATTTTTTAACTATCTTTACGAATAACTGTCAGATTGCTCTATATTTATCAAACGAGAAACAAATCTTGTTATACCTTACCCTAGATATACAGTATATCTATTTATACATATAATAAAAATGTACTTGAAAGATAGTATGATAGATGCCACTATTGAGATACTTTATCAACTTAAAAGAACCCAAAACATGATTGTTAGAATTTTAGTCTTATAACCTGTGCGTTTGTGAGATTTATTCTCAGAAATTGCTTATCAGTTAAATAGTTTCTAAACTTGTGTGTTTAAACTGGTGAATAATATAAACCATTATACTTTAGTTCCGAAACTTCCAAAATATCTATTACATAAATACATTTTATTTTTAACTATATTTACTGATAAATCGATACATACGATTGCCTTGACAATGTATTACGTATGTATCAGATAAGATCTATAATAATAATAACACGAGACACGCCTTCAATATACTATGTTTATTTAATATGGTTTGGAATTATGATACAATAACTTTTTTCATATTATTATTGGAATGTCAAACACACTGAGGGCCAACATGTTGTTTTGTTGGTAAGAAATCAACCGTCTGCTATATATGAATATCAACTGTAAATGCAGTAGAAAAGCACTACCAAGAAACTCAACGTGTACATTTTTTTATATTATAGTGGTAGTCTTGATTTTTAATTTTATTACCATCGGTATACAATAAAAAAAGCTACATAGATTCGAAGTTGCAGAGTCGGCTAGTATATAAATATTTTGAAGTAGATACCTACTAATGTTTTTTTTTTAATTTTCCTATAGAGTAAAGACACAAAGAAGAGCAAATCTAAGAGTTCGTCGTCGGAGGCCGAGGCATCTTCTGGATCTGGTAACGAGAGCGGCAGCGGTAGCGACTAATACCGGTTTAGTACTTAAGAAGCCTCCTGATTATCAATTGCAACGTCATACAACATACTTTCATCCGAATTATGCGGTCATGTGATCATATGACACATTACTATGCAAATTTCAAAATTTATTTTCATGCTTCGTCTATGTTTTTAGATGAAAATAGTTGAGTGTTGTATGTATTCTTCCTTTTGGTTTCTGTAGTACTTTTTACTATTTTCTCTGTATGTAAAATTTTGTAAATTTTCCAATTTTATCGTAGTACATAACAGTTAAATGTATCATGATAATAAAAATACGCATAATACTCGAAATAAGAACCTATTACACGACCAGCGAAAAGCTATATTTTCAATTTTTTTTAATTGGATTGTTTATGTTATAAATCAGGTATAATATGTTCTTGTGCGATGAAAAACTGTTATCACAAAATGTTTAAAATAAAACCAAATGTTCTACGTATATCTGTATTTATTTATATCATAAAGTCTTTTCTCCAATAATAATGAAAAATAAAGGAATTACAAAAATACAGGCAACGTTGCAATGGTTACACTGAGGAACTTGTTATGTTCAGAAATCTCGTAATGACAAATTAGATTTTAGTTTAGTTGTTAACAATTGGTTGTATACTATATCTAATTATCACAATCTGTAAATATCTGTTATTTCAATATCCGTATTCAGTTATTGGCGAAATGTGAATAATTGTTGATTAATTAATGTCTCCGAATAAATGTAATATTAGTTATTTTTAAACTTTCGTGGTTATTATACGTTATTTATATTATTAACCGGGTTTCAACACAAATAATTTTATGGCAAATAAAGGTATTTAGCTTACTGACGTCACCTAACGTAACTTCAGTCATCTCGTGACCACGGCTAGTGCAACCTAGTCGAAACGTCGATTGAGGTAAATACCTTATTTACCATAAAATTATTCGTGTTAAGATCCGGTTAGTAATATAAATAAATATAACATTGTTTGTAATGTAATATCCAATGTGTTACAATTAATAATCGCCCGTATCAACTGTTGTGATATTTGTATTTCATTCCCGTTATAGGACTAGCATTCCTATTGTTAAATTAGGATATATTCTGCTTTTTTATACGTAGTGAACAGTCTTCGATATATCACACGCGTAATAATAAACTGTATTAATAAAAACTTAATAATTTTATAATAAAGTTAAAGCTGTGAAGTTAATTTCCAAATTTTGATTTTTTAATTAATCCAATTTATTATCCGTTGATATATGATTAAATAAATATTTGGAATTAATTACGTTTTACTTTACGTTTCAACTTAACTGATTATATGAAGATACATTTATTTCCCTGGTATCTTTGTTTTATTTTTAAATAACAATTCAGCCTGTACAGATTGTTTGATGAATATGCCACTTAAAAAAAGCAGAATATACATAGTTTTAAATTAAAAGCCACGTGATTAGAGTACGAACAGCATATGCTCTTTATAAATACCATATTGGTCGACACAAACCGAATTGTAAGTACACGACCGTAGAAACTTAGCAAATGCCCTAATAATACATGCACTTCATTATTAAAAGTTGAATTTTAAATATTCATAATTTCATTATCACCCTACTCATAATCGATAATGAAACTCGAAAACTGACGAAGTCTGTATAAAATAATAGGAACTGAATAAATAACTTTATAGTAAAGTAACAATTGTCAGAATCTGCCAATCGATGTATTAACTGTATTTATTCCAAAGCACTGCAATTTCATATATTCATTATTAGCTTTGTCAGAATACATATTAGCGTTCAGTCATTTGAATTGTAGAATACCCGTGAAATTGAATTATTTCCACCAAGAAGCAAAATAAAAATATATTTACATCCAATTTTTTCATACTAAATAGATCACGTGATTGCTTTTTCATCCGGTGAAGCTGTAAAAGCTGTAAAAAGCTACGGCCAACAGCAGTAGAATAATTCTAAAAAAACGTGACCGCGCAGTAGTAAAAATAATTTTAAATATAGAATTAGAAGGTTAGTTAAAACATGCCACTATTTCAACTATGCTTCAAAGTTTCAATAATCTAATTTATACACTTCTCATTCATATACAGCAGGACAACGGTAATAATATGTGTGGCCATTTGCCAGCTATTGGAAACAAATTGACGCTATTACATGACGCTCTGCTTTGTCCTTTACTCTCGTGGCTATTAGAGTCTTAAGTTGTAAATATATTGTCTTAAGGTTTCTAAAATTATGTTAATATCAATATAATAATACAATTTTTTAATAATATATTTGTTATCATGAAAATCTCCACTTATGCACAAGTACTTAAAATGTTTTACGTTATTTTTTTTTACATGCAGCGTGTATAGGAAAAACGCGCCTTAAATTTTTTAAGGAAGGCTCTCAACTAATATTGTCTACAGACCATTTTCTTGTTTTATAATTAAACAAATACTGAAGTTATCATTTTAGCTCTGTATCGGGCATATATATAGGCACAGACTGCCTGAAAGCGGAATGACTGACCACATTAAGTTAGGTTTTTTCTACAAATAAAAAAAAAGTTACCTGATAATAACCTGTACGGCTTCATTGGAACTATGTTTACTTTTTTATTTATTAGTTGTATACGTGATAGCAAATATACCAGTCCAATAAATTACTTCAATAGGTCCACTATCTTATCAATGTACGATTTTTTTTGTATCAGCTTCTGTTTTTCTCTATTATGTCAGAAATACCATAATATAGCTAATAATTTTTTTATTGTATACATGACCTAGGGTCTTACGCATCAGTTTTATCTGCTGGATCGGTTAAATTATTGAATGGTATTTTTTTTATTTGCTGTTTATGTCTCTATGTTTCATGATAATAAAGGCCCTGAGTCATTCAGATAAGCTACGATATTCAATGTTAATTTTAAGTATTAAAAAAATAAACGTTTTGTATAATAATAGTATTGTTTTTATGTCAACTGTTTAATTACGAAATAAACTAATTCGGGGACTATCCGTTAGTTTGTCTATGTATCTATAATTCTATATTCACGCCTTGTTCCTTATGGGGTAGGTAAAATAAAATAAATATCAAAGATCTATGCCCTAATAAAAGATGTTATGTCTAAAAATATTATAGATTATAAATAAGTTTTTAAGCAAAAATTTGATAAAAATACTTCTATGTATATATGGATAGTATAGTCGCAGCTACGATATTGTAAAGCAAAATTATAAATAATAAAATACGCATAGAATAACGGTCACCGTTTTGCGCCCTTTTTAGGGCTCCGGCTTCCCCATTGTGTTCGCACAAATAGCGTGTATGGCGTCGCCTCGGCTTGCGGTAGGTTAGGGTAAGTAGGTAGATACTTATTATTACAGACACCGGTTATAACATAACGTGGTGTTTTTTACGTTTTAAATAGACGCTTGCTTTAATAATGTCTAACATTTAGAAATTAAAATTACTTATTTCAAATTAGTAGCGTAACTATTTATTGCACAATTAAACACATTTGTTTTTTATTAATGGATCTCTTCATTTATAGAAAAGTATGAGTACGATAAAACAAATTGTTTTATCAAGAAATGAAGCAACTCAGTACCGACTTCTTTCTTATTATTTTTTCTATAAAGAATAATAATTATAAATCCAAAGCTAAGCGGAGCTTATATTATATTTTTAAAATACATACTCCACAGACAATCATACTGATTAATATAAATGTGTGCATGAATCGAACTGTGTGTAGGAATCGAACCCACAACCATCGCTAGTAAAGCAGTGTGCTTCATCACTAGACATCATTTTAAGATTGATATCTATGGGGCCGTCAATGCAAGAATATTCTAATGATAAGGAAGAAATCCTCACATTTGTAAATACCTACACATTTTAAAAACCACGGTACATAATAATAACTAGAATAAAATGGTAAAAATATGTTACATATCTTCCATATATAGATAACAGTCGGTGGAATCATAATTCGCAAGTACCTATACAAGTTAAATATACGGGTTCAAATCATAACAATTAACGATAACCTATCTCGCAGTCCTCGTAATGCATTGTGTTCTGTGCTATAAATAATAATTATATTCGTCGATTTTGTGCACACATTGAAATCATGTAAATTACTTAAAGGTATAATAAATGATACTACTTAATTAGTAATAATATAATACCTAAATATTTAATCCTTATTTACTTTCAAAAGGATTTCATTCTGTCAGTACCCAAGTAATTTTTATAAATGTGCTTTGTTACAGATTTTGTAAATGATGTAATTTACACGTCAATTGTACTCATTATTTCGCTATCGTTATGAACTATCCTTAATAAAAGTTGTAATGTGATACTTTACGTTTACTAGCCTATGCCTTCTGATAATAAAGAGCACCTCTAACAAACGAGAAAATGTGTATGTTCCGTAGATATTCCATGAGTAAGTATACCGGTAAGAGCATACATATGTGAAAGGGGATTGTTAGTAATGTTGAATAATAACTCCATTACTAGCAGTGTACTGTCAGGTTGACCTCCACCCGGTTCCCCCTAGAAACCAGCAAAATAAATTCCTGGTGAATCTGCCACGATGAACTAACTTACCTGACCTTATGCTCATCTTATCATCCTTTCCCTGCACACACTACCGCCAGCGTAAACCGTTAGCACAGGCGGATGCACAATTCCATTATCACCAAGTTAAAATAAACAGCATACATCTCAGTATGTATACGTATATGTACATATATATTTGAATGTTTATAACCCGCTACATTCACACCCAGCCACGATGTTGAAATTTGATATTAACTTCAGTTATAACGAAATTAGTTTGGAACTAGAACAACTACACGGCTGTAGTATTTAACTGTCAATATAAAAATCATCATCAACATACTTTCAGAATTAGAGCAGTTTAATAAATAATAGGTACTTGATAAAAAAGAAAGATGTTGACAAAATAACTAAATTAGCATCATACTGTATATATACGTATTTTACACCAACAAGGATATACTAAATTACTGATGTCAATTTCGC